CTTTTGGCTGCTCAAAACTTAAGAAATGCTCAAATGAAACAATTTTAAAATTACCCGAGCTTGCAGAAATGAAATTAAAAGCATGACATAAAAGCGCTTTAAAAAGTTCTAATTGTGGATTCTTGTCTTGTGTCTCATGGAGAGCAGATGTGGCAGAAAACTGTAGCAATAGTCTGAGATGTCTACAATGCAGAAGTTTATTAAAAGCAGCAAAGGAAAACCTTTACCTCACATAAGTAACAGATGCTGTTTATCTACTGAATGCCTACTCATGGTGGCACTGAGTGACTTAGTTTATATTGGCTAAACCAAGAAGACCTGTATTCAAACAAACCTGTAAATAAGGATAAATATTTATTTAGTGCAACTTTCTTCCAGGGTAACAAATGAGTATTGTGGAAATGAAAGCGCTGGATTGCACTTATTTATTGAAAATTAACATAAATGAAGGTAGGATTTAGAGTAATTAAAATGGAAGGGCTACAGATATTAGGTTATTGTAGTCGAACTAGTGAACTGCAACCTTTCTGCTCCATCAGTTTTGTTAGAGCAATGTCTACAGTGTTGCCTAATGGCTATAACTAGCTAACTACTCAGGACCCTTGGTCAAAGGAGGGGCTCTCAAAAAGCATCTCCAAGGTTATCAGAGGCTGCTTCTGCCAAGGATGCTCATTACACATTGCTCAGTGCTCTCACCTGTTCTGAACATTTGTTATTTGCTCTGTCATTTGGGGTCTGGAATCCATGGTTTGGAGTTCTTGGGAATTATACAGCATCCCTTTTTGTGCATGGCATCCAAACATGAGGCATCTTTCTTAGCATCAAAGATCTAGTGTTATGAATAATATATGTTTAGGAGGCTGAAAATCAAGCAAAATAGATCACGTGTAATTCCAAGAAAATATCTCAAAGGCCATAGTATAAGACTGTTTTATAAGATGAATTTGCAAACTCTTGTCTACTTTGTCCAACCTATAAAGATAAGCTGAAGTAAATAAATTGTGAAATGGCCTACTTGAGGTCTTTGCATATTTTGCAAGTTTTAAATGCTTTCACTGGAGGCAATGCTTAAAGTTGCTTAGCACCCAAATTATTTGCAGTAGTTTTTCAGCTACAGTATCCTTCAAAGGCATCTGCAGAGATATATCCAGGAATGCATCCAACCATTCCAAGAGCTTTGATGCTAAGCAAGATGTCTCATGTTTGGATGCCATCCATAAGAAAGGATGTTGTGCAATTCTTTAATTCTAAGAATTCCAAACTGTGGGTTGCATTGTGAAAGTCCTCTTTAAACCTTTTAAGTGAAATATGTTGTTGGAGGTATCTTCCCTGAGGATTACTGGCAAACACCTTGTGTTTATGGGGGTACCGTACAATTTAGACAGCACAGACAGGATGTCTCTTTCATTCTAATTTGTCTCTGTACATGGTTTATAACATCCCCCCAAATTACTTCTTGATGTGCAATTCTTCATGCTTGTTCTACTCTCAGAAGTGAGTCTTTTTCAAAGGATTTCAAAGAAGACCATTTTAGCTCCCAGTGTGCCGGGCGTGAAAAAGGATTGTTTTGACACACTTTTATGCTCTGGTTGCTCCAGAAGCATTTAAATCTGAAAACTGCAATTGTGATGGGTAAGTCTCAGCCTCTCAGATAAGGTGTTACAAGCACTCAAAAAAAAACATTAAAAGGACATGAAGGTTATAAAGTTAAGCACCTGCCAAAAAACAAATTAGGCAATGATAGAATGAATTGATAGTAAATCCTTAGTTCAGTTCTGCTCTGTGTATAGGTTATAACAATTTTGAGGGGATAAGGTACTATTTTTTTCATGAACTGTCTTTTTCTTTCCTGTAATGTCTTTCCTTACTGCATCAGTGTTATCATATTTGTCTTTCCAGATACAGTTTTCTCACTCAGTCATTCCTTGCTTTATCCTTCCAGACTTCTCATTACCACCCCATCCCTAACATTTCCTTGCCTCGCATTCTTGCTTTACCTTCACTCCCAAATGTCTGTCTTTTTTTTTCACTCTGTTGTTTTATACCTTTTTCCTGCAGTTGGCCAAGAGAAATGAATCTCTAAGGAGCAACAACGACAAAATCCACATCATAATTTATGTGTAATTTTCTTAAGGTGCAGAGAACTGATTTCTGTATGAAAATACGTTTGGAAGTAAACTTTTGGAGGAGGAGCTAAGGGGAACCCTTCCAGACTGTTGGTCAGCTGTCTCCCATACGTTTGTCTTGCAGCTCCTTTTCTGATGCCATGTGTTTTGGGATTTCCATTGGGGGTTTTGCTTCTTTATTTCAATTAATGCTGTGCTGAGTTTTTTAAGACTGTTAGTAGGTGAAGTTAAGATGTTAGAAAGGTCTTTTGGAGGATGCTATATAAAAAAAATCTGAGACAAAAAACATAGTTGGTATTCCTCACATATTTGTATTTCACATGTGAGCATGCCAATTTTGTGTGCAACTCTTCTGTGAAACTAAATGTTCCTTTCACTCTTACTTGCCTCATGTGTTCTCCATCTTTCCCCTCTATCTTTTTAATAAACTGACATTTTCTGTGGTCTCTTAAATTAGTTTATGCCTCTGGGAAAGATTATTGTGTTTATGTGGCATCAACTGGAACAAACCCTTGCAGATTGAAGGGGCATCACTGGTCTGTGCTCTGTACTCCTGCTGTGCCTGGAGATTAATGTGCTGGGAGGTGTGAACACACTGAGCAAACCAGGGAGCCTGGCTCACTGGGTGAATTTTACACTGGGTGAATTTTAACTTTAATTTAATTTGAAAACTTCCAGAGCTTTCTCACTGATACTGCAAAAATCTGACGTACATTCCTAATTTTCTACACTGTAAGTAGATCTGGCTAATTTGTTCCCCAGCTGTTTAATTTGCAAAGGGGGCTGTCATTCTGTGTTAAATAAAACTGGTAAAGATGGAGCCCAAGGAAGATCTGTGTAATGATGAAAGTTTGTTCCAGTTCAAAGCTGCTGTTGATGTTGGGTGTGATCCAAAAACTCTTGATGCCAGATGCAATGCTTTCATTGATGTAATCAGATTTCAAATCTGGGCCAGTGTGTGTTCAGCCCACTACTCCTTTAGCTACTGCTCTGGTACCTGACTGGGAGGATGAGGTGTGCCAACAGCATTTAGAAAAACACCATCCCTAGTTGCCCTCTGCCTTAGTACTATATGCAAGGGCTGCTCACTCCTAGTTGTATAATTCACTCTGTTTCTCCCCCCAGGAATGTAATGTGAGATATTTCTTTTGTCTTCTTCAGTCTAGCCTTGCTTTTAATTTGTTTTCCTCAGGCCAGATGTGCATGGTTTTGTGTAATCTGCAGGCATTGTGGACCAAATCTGAGCGACTCTCTCTGCCCCTAAATCTGAGCTGCTGGCTCATTCAGCCAGGAACTGATTTCTGAATAGTCTCTTTGGACTCATTACCTGAGCCTAGACATGCTTGGTGGCCTCATCACTGGCACTTGCTATACTTCTATATTAAGAAAAAAGAAAAAAGTTAATGTTTTGAAAATTCAGGCAATTGTATGAAAGATAATGGATGAATGAGGCTTTATAGTGATTTGATCTGGTATTATTGTGTGTTAGAGACTCATGCCAAATCATGGTCTTGGCAAGCTCCACCAGAGAGTGACTGGCCCTGCGGCTGACAGAAGCTCCCTGGGGGAGAGTCTGGAATTGGAGGTCTTCTGTTTGACTTCACTTGTCAGGGAAATGTGCCACATTGGACAGTCTCACAGCTGAATTGGTTTCTCAGTTGCCTTATGATTCATATTACCCTTTGTTGTTGCTGATCATACTGTTTTCTTTTTTGTTTCATCTGCCTGTTTTTTCCTGGCTTTATCTGTCTCTGTACTGCTAAAATTCCCATTTTCTCTTCCAATTTAATTTTAGAGGGAGCAGTATGGAGACCCCGGCAGATAATCTGTCTCTGGTTAAAAAATGCTGATGTCCTTAGCAAGGCAATGTCTTATATCAGTGTGGTGGGCAAAGAAACCAAAATACTTCTCCTGCTGTCAGAAAAGAGAAAATATTTTTTCTCTTTCCAATATGCAAGTGTTTCCTCTATGATTTTTAACAATTGTTAATAGCAGCTAAGCAGTTATGGTAAAACTTTGCTTTATGGACTGTGTACTATTTTGGGTGCTGTGCTGGTGGGTGAAGAATCCTGGTATAAGTCAATTTTCTATTCTGAATCTCTTCTCCCACATATAAAAGGAGAATAAAAATGCTGGCTGGATTTGAAATCCACTGCTGAAAAATGTTACTTAGAAGTTGGGCATTATGATGTATAATTATAATCAAGCCCATATAAGCATTATGTATGAGAAAGTAGCCTGATAGCATATATGGCTGTGAGTGTAAAGAAACCAGGAAATTCCTCCTGCTGTTGTAGACAAGTGACAATGGAGATATTTTTAAGTACAGATATTAGCTGTTCACTGTGTCAGTAATGCAGAGAACCTGGGAAGGTGCATTGCTACTTGTTAAAATTCCTTCCTGGCTTTAATTTCTCTGTCATGATTTTGCATTAGCATAATCCTTTGACCTAAATAAGAAAATATCAGCAAAGGCATGAAAACTGAAATCAGGTTTCCGAGTTGACTGTCCTGCTGTACTTTGTGAATGGCATTAGCTGGTGGAGGTGAACAGGACAGTAGGAATTACTCCCCCCAAAAATCTAGAATTGTACATCAGAACCAAACTTATTTTTTGAAGTTTCACTTTCTGTTGATGTATGCATTTTTTACTTGTATTGAAGAATTCTCTCCTGAACTATGAGAACCTTGGAAGTACTTCAGGAAATCCTATCTAAACCATCAGCTTCTTACTGGCTTACAAAAGTAAAAAGTAGTTTTGTTATCTCAAACAAATGCACATTGTTACTGTTGATTTAGAAAGTATTTTTAGCTCATGAACATACCCAAAGCATGAAGTGTCAACTATGAATCTTTGTTGTTTTATGATTTCAGGTATGTGAATTGCATAGATCCACAGGAAATTCTATATGTGAACAAAGTTTGAGATCTGCCTCCAAAACTCCAGTTGCTCCTTTTTCTATTGTCACTTCCCTTGCTGATCTTGCCTGGACACCTCACGACAGTCCAAGGACAAGCTGCTGTCTGAGAGACCTGCATTATAAACGTATGTTCATCAAAATTAATGTCTTCTCCCTTACTAGATTTTTTTTTTAATTAATTGGTTTCAACCCCTGGCATCAGCACAGTAAATTTAAACCCCGTCAAATCTCTTGACTTCATTTAATACCTGTTACAAAGAATACCTCCATATGATTTTTTAAAATGGAAACGAAGTAACTGTAATGACTCAAGCTCCTTTGTTAAAGGAGCAAAAAGGTTGCAAATTGCACAATTCATCAATCTGAAATGCTTGTTCAGTCCAGTTCTGTTCTCCTATTTGTTTGCATCATGATACTGACTTATAGTATTTCACTTGTGTAAAAGCTCAGAACAAACCCTTGTTTACAAGTGAAGTAGATTACACAGTATAAATCAAGATAGCAAATTGAAGCTGAGACTATTTCTTTTTTCTGAACTACAATCCTTTCTTGTTACTGAGAATATTAATAATACAGTGACTACAAGGTAAAACTAGCTTCTTTGAAGTTTTGAAAGGGTTGAGACCATACTGTGCTAAATACACCTGAGGAAGTGGTGTGAATTTCCCTGAAGGGGAATCAGGACTGGTGTGGGAACACAACACAACCAGACTTGTTATAACACCTCTTATAAACTTGTTTTTTATTAGTAGACTCAAGATGTTAATGGCAGAAAGCTATTTCCTCTATTAATTCACTTTTTAGTGCAGGTTGCACATCTGCACACAGCTGGAACAGCAGTGAGACACCAACGCTGCAGTACACTCACTCAGAAGTGGATGGTCATCCTGGGCACAACTGTGTTTTCTAGCAAGGTGTTTGGAATCTCCTTTGAGGTGCCTGTAATCAGGAGGTCTGTGCCACACCTGTAGTTCCTCTCTTAGTGCAGCAGCTCATTTCCTCTCTTGGTGAGGTCAGCATAATCCCATGACTGGTTGATGGGCACCTTAATCAGCCTTTTGTCTTAAATTCACTAGTTCCCGGGAGACTTTGCATGTGCTATCTCATGGCACATATATTTCTCATGGTTTTCAGGTGATGGTCCCTCCATCCACATGTGTAGGTCCCTTGTCCCCCTTCAGGGATGCTGGTGCAGAGGGGTTTTGTGGCAGGAGCAGCGCTGCTGCTGAGCCTTCAGCTGTTGCTGAGGGAGACAGAATGTGTGTGGGAGAAAGGAAGATATGACCCTGTTGTGTAGGTGGGGAACTGGGCCACAGCATTTTGCTGATTTGCCTCACCCCTGGCAGGAAGCTGGCAGCAAGGCTGTGAGCTGAGTCCAGGATGTCTGTGTCCTCCTGGCCCAGCCTTTCACTCTCAGGAACAGCTGTCTCTGCAGTTTTTGACTCCTGTTGCTCTTCTTGCTCTGCTGCAAGATATGCAGTTACAGCACTCCTGCTTTCCTGGCTATACTGTCATAAGTGGAGTCCAGTTTTTGAGGAAAACCTCAAAATATTTGAGACTGGGTTTCTAGGGCTTGGTTGGCACACTTACTGGGACTCAGCCTTAAGGTGTTTGTTCCTCTTAATGAACTAGAGACATTTCTTCTAGTCTTTAGTCCACAAATTGTGAATGGAAAATGAACAGCCCAAAGGAGATGTGTTGGGTGTCTGAGAACAGTTGCATAGAAGAGTTCATTTTCCCTGTGACTTTTTCACTCAACATATCTGAATTATTTGGAAGAAAAGAAAAAAAAATGCTAAACACTTGTAAAAAATTATATCCAAAAGGAAGACTCAAAAGAATTAGGAGAAATTATTATTGAGGCTGCGGTTCATTATGATGTGTTTTTGCTGAAGTCACTTTACCAGTCCTTACCTTTCCACTGTTCCCTAGCCCAAGTACTGAAAACAACAGTTGACAAAATGACCCTTGTTTTTATTTGTTCAATTTGTTAATATTTCTTTAGATTGCACTGAAAATTGTACTTGAGTGTTGTCATGGTGTCGGGATTAGACTCTAATGAGGGTATGAGTCATGAGCAGGCCTAGCATTGTAACTTCATGTTAACCTTTTCCCTAGCTCTTTTTGTTTCATTCTCTGAAAGTTCAATAACTTTTATACATGAAAGACTGTGTGGAAATTTCTTTTATCTTTAGGTTCGTTCTGTTTAATGGAATTCACTGAATCAAGAGGCCAGAAATTCCTTTAAATGCCAGTAACTTCAGTAATTTGGAGTTAATCTCCACTGAATTGTCTTAGTTAATTGCTGTCATATGTAAACCAGGCTTTGGTTGACCAAGGATGATTAAAATACACTTTGGGTTAGAGCAGTATATTTAAAAAGACTTGACAGTTTCTTCAACTGTCTTTTTGCTCGATGAAAGAATTTCATTTGAAGATCCTCATCTTAAAAATATTCTTGAGAGTCTCACTTTCTTTTCCTGATAGACATAAGAGTGGTTATAATAATAAAACAAACTCCTTGTTATAAATCGTACATACATGGAGGACATGATTCAGAACAAGAAAAGATTAGATAATTAAACTCCATGTAATTAAATGAATGAGAATGTCTTCTTGAAGTAGAAGGGTGGGATGACCTCTAGATTTGGTAAGCAAACAGCCTATTGCTAACCCTGGGAGGGAAATAATAAAATAAAATTAATACAGATATCTTTGCCTGAAATGAAATTTCCCATTTTATCACTGTTTGAATGTAGTCTTACTGGTTTTGAATATTACACTTGCAGCAAATAGCTCTCCTGTTTATACATGAAAACCCACTAGACTTTCTGGGAATTTAAGGAAGGGAAAATAACACTAGGACTTGGCTGACCACAATGTATGCAGTAATGTTTTGATTGTCAGATGAAATATGTTGGAAAACTTATGCAGATGTATTTTGGGTTAGGAAAATTGGTGTCCTCACCTAAAAGGAAAAAAGAAATCCTTTGGAGGTTAAAAATGAGAACAAATTCCAGCCTATACTGAAAGATTTAGCAAATTCATGTCAATTTAGAAAACCAGAAAATTACAACTACAAGAGAACACTGTGATTATTTTCTCACATGTGATTCAATTGGGACTCATCGCTCAGGAAAGCCATATGATCAATAAAGTCTTGTTCTGTTTAATTATTATAGAACAATTTGACAAACAACTGAGCCAGTTTCCCCACACTGCCTCAAACTTGGAATAGATAGAAAAAGCATCAAGTTGATTTAATGCAGAGCTATGGATGAGTAGTCAGAAATGGAAGGAGAAATGTGGAACAGTTCTGTCAAAACCCTTGATCACACAAAACAGGTAAGTATTGGACTCCTTTGAAATGCTGAGATTATTTTTAATGCTAGGACTAGATTTGCCTAAAGGTGCAATCAGTAAGAGTTAAGTGCCTTACCTCCTTAATCATTTGTGGGTGTTGAAATGGATTACTGCTAAAACTCAGGTATTTTCAAATCTGTGGAAGGCTGTGTTTGTGCTGGAGCCCTGAGGGCACTAACAGACCTTAGTGACCAGCCTCACCTGGAACTTGCAGGATTAGTGTGTTTAGCCCTCTGCCCTGGGATACAGAGGGGAAGAACTGGTCTCTAGCACAGCTGCAGGCATGCCCTGCCTGCCTGGAGATTCCCTTTTTGCAGAGCTCAACCTGAGCACTGGTAGCTTGGCTTCAACTTAGGCCTGCCCTATTGCCATGGCATTGCCTCATGGCTTGGACCCTCAGCTGGACCTGGATGCTCTGTTGGGATCTGTCCTGCTCCACAGCTCAGGCTGGGGACAGGCCCTGCCTGCTGGGACTCTGCTCACCTGGTCTTACAATTAATCATGTTCTGTGGACTCATCCTTCAGTCCTTTGGCTTCACAGAGATGTTTGAATTATATCTGATACACAATCATTAAAGAATTAGTGCTAGATGAGCAGGAGCACATGCACAGTGAATACAGAATTTCTCATTTTTCTCTAGGATTTCACATTATTTGAGTTTTGTTTTTTTACCTAATTATCTTTCCTGAGGTTTGGCTGCTTCAAAGACTTTCTTGCAGGCCTCTTCTATAATAGATCTTCATTGCCAGTCTTCTAAAGACCAGATGTAATCTCTTCATCTATCTTGTGTGGCTGTTACTGCCTGCTGCAGCAAATCAGCACAACTTTAGCAGCTTTAGATGGATATCTATGTAATCTCTTCATGGGCTGGCCAGCAGAATCCCACTACTCCAGTACACTGATCCTTCACATTCATCATGTGAATATTCAAGTGCTTAGATTTTACTAATGGAAGTGCCCTGGAGAGAAGATAATGAACTTCAAGCAAAGCAAACATTAATCTTTGGTTTTGAGGTATTTGCTGAAAACATCTAAAATTGTCTATCTGATTTTAAAATTTCCAAGTTGAAACATATTTGGCTATTTACATTAGCTGGAGAACATGGTCAATAAAGTAGTACTTGTGTGAGGGAAGTTTCAGTGGAAGTTAATTGCAGGTAATTAAAGGATAGACAAATGATACAATAATTGATCCTAATGCTACAAAGTTAATCAGAATTTTGTCATTTATGAAGCCTGGTCCATTGTGAAATCAATGACAAAATTCTGAAATAACTTTGTAGCATTATTTCAGAATTTTGTCATTGATTTCACAATGGACCAGGCTTCATAAAAGACATATCTGACTTTACAGACAGGAAACTTTCCTCCTTCTTAAGCCCGTCTAAGACATGTCTGACTTTACAGACAGGAAACTTTCCTCCTTAAGCCAGTCTCATGTTACTAACCATTTGCTGAAAGTGTTTTAGCAACTAAGAACATATGAAAAATTAAATACAAACCAAATATTGTCAGAATGTGACAATTGTCAGATTTTGCTTTGTTCAATTCCTCTTCTTTTTTTCCTGTAACTGCTGGCAATATCAGCTGGTATCACTAGCTCTCTGTGGCCGAAAAAGTCAACCTGATTGATGTGACACAGTTCAGTCCAGAGAAAAATCTGCAGTCAAAAATGGATCACAAAGTTAGTTTTACAATGAGTCAGGGCAGTGAAGAATGAAAATACTAAGGTTTCTTGTGAGTGGAAGGAGGATGTGCAAAATGTGTCTTCTCCTTAGGGAAGCAGCTGTACATTTTGTAATGATGCTTTTCATTGTAAATTTTTGTTTCAAATAAATATATGTATTGGAAATATCAAAAATTCTATCAAGTTTTAAGGTTCAATTATCTCAAATCAATAGGAGTGTAAAAATAAATACTGTCCACTAACATTCTTTGGTTTTATAGCACAAGAGAATTTTTTCTGTTTTGTTTTTTGGTTTTTTTTTTTTTTGCTTGTTTTTTGTTTTGGGTTTCTTTTGGGTTTTTTTGGTGGATTTGGAGTCTTAATTATGTTTTGTTCAAATTAAGACCTTCAAACTTATCAAAATGTGAATCTGTGATAAAGAGAATTTGATAAAGAGGGGAGATGTTACATCACCCAAGATGCAAAAGGACTTCTCACTCTTCTTGAGTTTTCTTGCTTCATTTTATTCTTATTTTTAAAAGCCTCTGGATTTTTAACTCATAACTTGGTTCATAACCAAGTTTGGGGTTCATAACAATAGAATAGAATTATTGGTGGCTGTATTTAAAGGGTCTGAAATTTGTACGACAAATATCTGTAGATCTGAGGAGTAAGTGACCACAGGGCTGAAGAGGAAATGAAGTCCAAGAAAAGAGTGAGAAAAGTAGTGGCTGTAAGCAATGAGGGAGTTCTTTGGTCCTTATCACACTGAGTGGAGGTGTGAGAGGAATGGGCACTGAAAAGGCTGAGATAAACCAAAAACCAGAGGGAGGGACAGTCAATTCCTCAGGAAAATCAAATCGCTGGGGATGTTTACACTTATAAACTTTGGTCTTATGGGGTTATATTTTCATATTTCTAACACATGAGAATAATCACTACTCAAACTGAGAAAGTTGCTCATATCCTGTGGTGGAAGAATCAGCTCCAGGCATCAGCTCCGGCAGAATTTATTTTTGCTAAATAAATAAAATCCACATTAGCTGCCAAATAAAAATCATTATCACATGAGTTTCTATTATGCTTGCTTAGACTGTAGTGCATGGAGTAGATATTGCTAATTTATCTTGCATATCTCACACTGCCCAGCATGTGGCTGATAATGGCTTTAGGCTGGGACCAGGCAGGATCATGATGTGTGGCAAAGTCACATCTCTAGTCTGTGTACTGGGTCAGTCTTGAAAGCACACCTCAAAACCACAGCTGTCATTCAGCCTCCTCCCTACAAGACATTCTTGGCCTTCTGAATTCGCTTACAGCAGTCATTTTACCCTTTGGGTCTGCTTCAGGCAATTTAATTCATAAAACAGAAAAAACATACTGTAGATGTTTTTATAATTTCTTTCCTGGTTTTTCTATTCATTGTTTCCAGTTAGTTAAATTTCTTTTCTGCTGTATATTACTACCCATACAATGCAGAGCAGTACAATTGTAAGACCAGAGGGCAGTGAAAAGTCTATTTTTTCCCTTGTGTGCATTTTTTTTCTTTTGCAGTTCAGATCCCCAGAGGGAAAGGTATGCTATTTTTCTACATCTTGTGTTTAATGCTAAATGTAGTCTGCAATGCAGAGATGGGTGCTGCTGC